ATACTCGTTACTAGTATCCACCACAGTAAACACTGACACATGATCAGTAATATCAGTTATCAACAATCCACTTTTTGTTTTCACATTGAACTTATTTATAAAAATATTGTCAATCAATGAAGCACTGTCTTTGCTCTTCTTAAACTCGATGGATAGAAACCTAAACCAAACATTGTGTTGACAACTTCACTTGTTTTGATGTGCTCATTATATTTCAATAAATCAATGTTGAAGTCTCCACAAATAAAAGTAAACTTTTCATTATAGCTCTCATACGTCTCTAATATTTTCTTATTAAACTCATCGATGCATGAGCCAGGAGTTCGATAAACACAACTAATTAACATGTGCCCAGATCTGTTGGCCTCAGTTTTAACAAACCTTCCATCAAGTTATCAACTGAAAATATCATTTTAACAGTAACCGTACATTTCAGTCCGGACCTAATGAACAGTGCAGCACCACCTGCCCTTGTGTTAAACCTGTTCTGACCCAACATGTCAGAACTCCATCTGACCATCGGGTCAGGTCCTTCGGTGATCCAGGTTGCTCAGACTGTTACCACTCGTCAAATGTTTCAAGGTAACTTTATTTTAGAGAAACTGCTTTGCGTGCTCCTACTATTAAAGTGAATTAGTGAAAAGCCTCCCAACCCCACATTAATACCGTCTTCTGAATAATATTCACAATCAGGTTTAGTATTAAAACTGAAATTGGTCTCTGGGTCTATATCAGTTTCTACATCTTAAAACTTGTGATCTTTAAAATCAAAACACTTAAGTTTTGTACTTTCACTCATGCTTATATGAAATGTCGTTCACCTCCATCAACATGAACAGAACCAGACAAAATAACAAAAAAAGCCTGTAACCCATAATACCCAGTTAGTTTGTCCCCCTCTTTTCTTCCTGATCTATATTTGTCCCGCTCAGAAACATAGTTGATGGTTAGGACTTGACCCGTTCAGCTTGATCAATATTTTACAACTGGTCCATGTGGTTTGGATTTCTCTCTCCTCCTTCAGAATCCTCGCTCGGTAAGAGCAATCTCTGCGTTCTTCTTTGTGAGGTGCTCATCTACAAACACATCCTTAAACACCCTGAAGTTTTTTACAGCTTTTAGCAGTTCCTTTTTGTGTTTTGTACTCACAAATGGAATGATGATATTTGGTGTTTTGTTCCGTTTGTCCAAGCTTGTATTTAGTTGTGGCGGCACTGTGTAACAAGCAGCAACAGTTTAATGTCCAGCGAAATGTTTTTACTGCTCGAGAACCTGAGGACTTGCTGCTCCAGTGAACGTAGTTCATCTGCTGGTGCCTCTTCCCCTTTATTGTCTTCTGCTGTTGTTCTTGCACATGTGCGGTGTGTCGTCTTAAGTCCAGATATCACCACATCCTCCTTTCTTGTGTACTGTTCCAGCTCTTCAATCTTCTCATCCTTTTCTTTAATAATTGCTTTCAGTTGTTGAAATTCTCAAATCAAACGCATCAGGCTGGTTTGTTGCTTCACCACCTTGCTCAGTTCTTCTGACATGACATTCAATGATAGTTTAAGTTCTTCCATGTGTTTTGTTAAGTTTGGAGCCATTTTTACTGCTCGTTAGCTGCTGACAGTCCTGGGAGTTCACTGGGCCTTTGCTGCTTGTTTAAGCACATGTAGTCAAAAGGTGCTTAAAAGTTGAAAAATAGCAGAAATGATCGTACAGATCTAAACATTAGTTGAATATCAAAGTGCAAACCTTCAGCATTTGCTTGGGTGTTGAGTTGTATTTTAGATATTCAATAGATTTTCAATAGATTGCAGGCCAGGTCTACACAACCTCCTATCCACCTTCTTGACTTCATGCTAATGCTAGCCGTGCTGCTGATGTCATCATTTTCATAGTTTGTGGCTTTAAAAACCAGATAAATGTTTCTGTCTACCTGGTAACAAAATCAGGTTTACAAGCTGTGAATAAATTGACCTCAGTTTAAATTTTTTTTTCATCTGCTATGTCAGTGGCAGCTAACGTTAGTTAATAAACATTTACCTTTTGTGCTTTATAAAGCTAAATTATAATAATATTATAAAGTCATTGATTATTTCTTTATATCAGTTTAAATTAATACAATGGTGCAGTTTTAAATGTGAATGTTAAAAAAATACTTTAAAAACTATGTCTGTGTTTCAGGTTATATTCAGGCTCCAGTTGCTTTCAAACTTAGAAGAAATAAATATAAAGAACTTTATGAAATTTGTGCTGTCAGATTTTCCTTGTTGGATTAACGGGTTCAAAACATTTCAGAAGAATTGGTTGCAAATGTTGTTTGACCAAGTTTTCAGGCAAGTGAGAAGGTTTTCCTGACATCGTCATCACCGCTCTGTCTTCTCTGCAGCCATTTCCTGTCTGGGCTTTCATGCTGCGCTCCTCACAAGCACAAGCTCTCGTGTACAAACAGGCGTTGAGCTACTTCCTCATTCTTGGTCACAGTTGCTCAATTCAGACGTGTTGAGGAGACCACGTGAGAGCTGGGAAGCAGAATTTATTAAAGGAGGGTGGGTTCGACTGAGGGGCTTCCCCAACCTTCAGTCATCAGAGTAAGTGTTGTGGGGAACTTTAACAGCAGACTCACACTAAGCTTTGAGTCGGGGAGTCATTTTTCTCTAGATATTTTTATTCAAATTATTATAAATGAAAACATGTGAGTTCTTATAGTTGATCAGATATCAAAGCAGAAAATTGATGTTTTTGTTTTATATTTGCTTTCTATGGTTGTGACATTTTTTTAAAACTTTGAACAGAACATTTAGGTCAAGGTTCTTTATTATCATTCGCATCACGTGGTACTTGAGGTGGAACGAAATTGTGTACACAGGGCCCCATTTACACCCAAAAATAGCAAAATATAAAGTGTAAAAATAAACAGTAAATAAGTATCTAAAATATAAACTAAGATATATGCTAAACAAATGCCAAACGATGTGCTAAAAGATCTAAGATATACGCTAAACCAGAGGTGAGCAAACTTTCAGACTCGCGGGCCACAGAGTCCTAAACTTGGAGCGAAGGGCCAGGAACAGCTGGATGGAGTGTTTGTGTGATGTTACACCCCAGCA